TATCAGATGTTTCCAGGTAGACAGTCAAATAAGTGTATATACAAAAGGTGAGAAATAACGCAATATTTTGTGCTTAAAGTAATAATTTTTAAAGAAATCAATTCAGACACCCAACAGCCTGTACAACTATAATCGGTTTTAAGGATATCTTCGATTTTTGTGGGAAGGGATAAAATTAATTATGGCATGCGCTTATTGGGATGTTAGTGTCATACCATACTCTTTGGATATTTGACGCCTTAGAACTCTCCAAATAAGACTGAGGTCGGGAAAGTGGCGTGCCGTTTCGATGACATCCAAGATGTAATCCATTTCGACGTCGCGTTCACAAAGTTGAATGAATGTTTCGGCTTATTACCACGCTGGAATTTTCATAGCAGTGGCATATGTTCTTCAGTACACAGTAGCATTACAGATTCCAACAAGTTTTTACATACAAATCTAACCATAGTGTTGTTTGAGATGTATAAGTGAGGAAAACAACCCCATAGCGTAAGATGTCTTCCGTCACACTTGACTGTTTTTCTGATATACCCAATGTTGATTTGTTTTTTTTTTTTTTTTTTTGATCCAAGTACACTTCTTCCCGCATCATTTTCAAATAAATTTATTTTTATTTTGTCATTTTGTCATTGTCAAGACCGTTTCACATATTTTACTTGACCTCCGGCAGGACCGCAGTAATCTATTTGTCTCATTAAATGCTTGCAAAACATAAAAATATACTTCAGAAGTATGCTTAGAAGTTGAATACACTCTGAGTCATTGCTGCATGCATGCTCTTTATAATCTTACGTTTTTATTTAAGTTCTTTAAGCCCTTTTGAGATAAAGTCCCCATGGCTTTTAGTTGCCATCCTAAATAAAATCTATTTATAAATTATTTACATGAACGCACGTTCACGATTATTCTTGTAATCTTGCTCATTGGAATTACGAGCCAAATCTTTGACTCGGCTGAGTTTTCCGTCCGCAAATACTCTGCTTATGTGCTCTTTTGCGAACATTTCACTGTGACATTTTCATGTTAATCTCCATTTTCGTAACAGTACGTCAAATATATACAAAGTGAAGGCATTACAGCAGGGCGCGATCCATCATTAAATGGGCTACATCACTTCGCTTAGTGCAATTATATATAGATATTGACTTTTCAAAATAAAGCTCTACATGTGGAAGAGGTCGAAAAAGTGGTCCGATCCGAAGCATTTGCAATAGCGCTCGTGTACGTTGGTGAATCAAATGTCATCCGAGTATCTCAAAAATGGCGACCTGTGGGTCGAATACGAGAAAGGAAGGCAGACTAGATGGACGGACAAGTTTTGATCGGTGAAAAAAGTTATTCTGAATCGATTGGTACGAGAAAAGGTGGAACGTCGCATACATCCGTACAAACTTAAATTCGTATTAAAAATTCGCCATTAGCCAAGTGCGAGACTTGAAAATATACTCTCATTAAAGTTCCTTTTAAATTGTAACAATTAATAGAGAATTAAAGAAAATATCTTATTATTTTTTTCTTCTAAAAATTTCTTTATTTTTCAGACGTTTTTTTTTTGTATTTTAATTTATACAACATATAAAACCGGCAAATTGTCTGTATACACAGATGCATACAAATATATTATTTGCTTTTTACGTTAAGTATATATATACATATATATATATATATATATCTGTATAGATATAGATATATGCAATGTATATATTTTATATAAATATATTTACTTGTATGCACGTATACAAATTTTTATATATCTAACTGCTGGTATATAATGTGAAACATGCAACTTTAGTGATGCCGGCAACCAGACACTCAAAAAAAAAAAAAAAAAGAAGAAGAAAGCAACAACAACATACTCGTGTACAGACATTGGAGATTCCTCTTAATACCACATTATTGTATAGGTATAGGTATAGGATGAAATGTGCTTTTTTCCTTTTTTCCTCTCGCTCGTACGTTCCATACGGCATACGAATCAGTTGTACACATGCACAAAAATTGCTGCGTATGTACGTTTCGTATACAAATTTAGGCAGTCAGACATATCACTTATGGATGAACACACATGCCTATCATTACATATACATTGCAGTTCGTGGTGTCCTTGCAGCAATATTTTTCTCTTTCTCTTTGCCTGTGTTCACGTCCTCTCTTGTGAGACGCTAGTGTACCGTTTAAGTTGTAAGGTATATTCATTTACGCTTAATGTTTGTAATTTGCGGAGAGAGAGAGAGAGATAAGAGGAAATCAACACATCTGGGATGTTAATCGACAATTTTTCTTTGCAAATCCCTTGAGAACTAGAGTCCTTTTCACGATAGTAGTCGATTTCTTAGGCGAATTGAAGAAATTGAAAGTTTTCGGTATATACCGATGAACGATGATTAAACGATGGTGCAATCTGATTCTGAACTTAGGAAAGAATCGGCGTATGATTAAATACAGAATAGTGATTTCAATACCACTACTTGTGGCGCAAGAGCACATTGAGTTCATGTGGCTTTGTATACCCATCAACAACCCAGCAACACACAGGAAGAGCTCGGATAGACTAGATTCAGAATCAATATAGAATTTGTCTGTCCCTTATCCATGTTTTCGTCTATCTGTTTTGTTATTTTTTATTCAACCTGCATGTCGTCATTTTTTGGATGTCTTGATGACATCTTCTACACCGGTTTGCCTCGGCGACGAATGCTATTTAAAAAGGACTCGAATGGGACCACTTCTTCAACCACTTCTCATATAACGTCTTATTTTGCTATAAATAACTGTATTAAGCGCAGTGGTGTAGGGTATTTAATGTTGGGCCGTGTTTCACTGTAGTACTGTCACAATCCAAATTTTTCTTAATGTCTTACAAGGCGTAAGATACAAAATCTGATTGACGGTGGCCCAACCTTTGTCTTTTCCTTATACTAAACGTGTTTTGAAGCAAAAAGAAAAAAACATTCTGAACGTGTGAGCAACACGTTCTGTAAGCGTTAGCATTTTATTGTAAATATTTCTATACTACTTAACCTTTCATTGCGACCAAAATATTTTGCAAAGATGTACTAGTATTAGAGAACATTAGGTAAAATTCAACTTTCATTATTGGAAAAGTAAAACATTTTGTACAAAATATAGTCCATCGTTAAGCGTCTCTTTCCTTATCTTTTTGGTAAAGAAAGGAAACTCTACTGTTATTATTTTTATACTCTGCTTCATTCGTGGCAAAAGGACGTATATATATTGTGCAGATGTTTGCAGCACCCAGAAGAAATCGAGTTAGAACCAATTTTCATCGATCAATTCAGAATCACTTTCTAAATCGATTTAAGTTTATCTGTCCATCTATCCGCGTGTCCGTCTCCTATCCTAGATGTCGAAATTTTTCAGACATTTTGATCACAACTTGATATACCGACATATTCAGGCCCAAGGACTAATACTATTGCAAGTGGATCTCTTTCCATATAATGATTTATTTTGAAAAATCGAGGAAATAACTGTAATAAGCAAAATAGCATAAGGTATAGTTTATGTAGAAAGCGTATACATATAAATTACATAAGTATGGAATGAATAATTGAAATCAATATACGAAACTTGTTGTTCAATCTTCTAAAAAGTCAATAATAACTTGTAAGCGAACTTTTATTTTGTATCCTTTTTGTATTACTTTACTTGGTACATAAAGTCTGTAAAGGATATAAAAAGTTCTTCAAAACTTTATGCATCAACTATTGCGTACAGGTAATAGGTGAACAAAAAAAAAAAACTACCAATATTTGCAATCATATAAATATACTCTCAATAGAGGAAAACTGACTGTGGTTATGTTAACTACGTACATCAAAAATCGGTACAGACATAATCATCTTTAGATAGCGCAGGGTATCAAAAAGCCTCCATGGTTGCTTTCTTTATTGTTAGATTTGCTTCGAGTGTGAATTGAGAAAACTCCCAGATTTTCAATTTTTTGGTTCCTATTGAAGCTCTCATTCAATTGGTGGCTGTATTGGTGTCGTGTTGTGTTCAGGCATTTCAAATATTTAAAAGAATTTCTTAATCATATTTTTCTAACATAACCGAACCTGCCTATATTTCACAAATGTGAAATCAAAATGTGTTAAAATATGAAGAAGCGTTATATACACTCTTTTACATTCACTTCAGTGAATATATGCGTATATAACGGTAAATACGATATTCTTTCTCTCTTTGTTGCCTCTCTTCGTAAGCAATGCTCTCTTTCGAAGAATTTCAATAAGCTCAACTTGGCTATGGGTTGGTTATCCTATGGGATACGGTCGCACAGATGGATTAGTTTATATTGAGGCATCCGTGCGTATGGAATATGCAGACAAGAGTTACTCGCCAACGAACGCAGGAAAATCATATATTGTTTAGGAAAAACATTGCTACATAAAAATTGAGTGGTTTTATAAAGAAACATGATTTAAATGTGACAGAAAATTTTTTCAAAAAAATATTTTTAATATTTTAACTATTAACTGAAAACACAAAAAACGGTTTCCTTTTTAGCTACAAAAATTTCATAAATCAAAAAGAAATTACTTAATATAAACAAATATAAATATATATATAAATATATATATATATATATATATATATATAAGTATATTCACAAATATACAATAAATATAGAATTAAAAAAAGGTGTTCAACAAAAACTCCCACATATAAAGAAAGAAAACAAAAAATAAACAAAAAAAAAAAAAAGGGAAAAACAAACAGTGACGTTAAAAATTGATTAAACAATTTAATTAAAGCCAAAAAAAAAAAAAATAAATCGCATGGTGTTGTTGCCTTGGCAAAGATACTTTTCAACAGATAAGTTATAAATATAAATAAAAAATAGACGGTATTTTTAATCGTTTTATTCATTGTATTGTGAAAGAAAAACTAAAACTAAAACAAAACTTCTTCTCAGAGTTTCATTTAAATTTAAATAATAAAAAAAGACTCACAAAAAACAAAAAAAAAAAAATAGATAAAAATAAATAAATAAAATAGAAATTTTAAAGTAAATCATGGGTTGTAATACCAGTCAAGAATTGAAGACCAAAGATGGTTCGACCGCTGCCAATAATGCCGCAAACGGTAGTGAACAGAATGAAGAAAATGTGGTAACCGAACAAAACGCTAACAATGAAGTCGAACCAGTACATAAGGGCGGTACCCCAAACACTATTAATGAGGAAAAATTGCAGCCACATAATAAATCATCGGGACGCACTTTATCATCAGCGTCGGCCATTTCTGTTACCACTCAGCCACCACCGTCATCATCACAGCCATTATTCAATCATGGTAATCACACAAATCATTCAAAAACAAATTCAATTGTATCGAACGGCGATGCCATTACCATCATTAATCGTCAGTCTTTAACGGCCAATACATTAAAGTCTACTTCATTGCCTGCCAAAGAGAACGGTTCATTACCCCAGGCTATAAATGGTATTTCCGTTAACTATAATATAAACGAGAACGATGATAACAAATTTGTCAGCGACAAAACGGAAATATCTGAATTGAATGGCATCGAGATGGGTGAAGATGAAGGTAAGGTGTCATGAAAATGATTACGAGAAACGATGAGAGAGAATTCGAGGAAAGCATGAGTCATCATTTTTCTTTTCTTTATTAAAAAAAAAAAAAAAAACTAAACTAAAAAAAAAGAAATATTTTAACATCCAACCATATTAAGGCATTTTCTTTCATTTACTTTAATAGGTAGATTTTTTTTTATATATCTACTAAGAGTGGTTCGCCAATTATTTTATAAAAAACCCTCTTTGGGGAAGAAAATTAATAGGTGTGTTTCTAGTTATTTATACATAAATATTTCAAGCGAAATGGGGTCATTTACACCTTAACCGTAATAACTTTCATCGTTCATTGTTACATCTATCCGCAAATAATGCACGTATGGTCAGTTTAGCATTCCATAGGTGACAAAATGCAAAAATTGACTTTAACGTGAGTAAATGTGTCCTTAAAGTGTATACAATCTTGGACAGCGCGAAAATGTGGATTCACCAAGGTAATAAATAGCTTGCTTAGGTGTCTGGCAGTTTATACATAGGACAATTCTGGCAACCTTCGGGTAACTCTTTAGTACGACTCATTCATGTAGCAGTTGATCCATTTTGCCTAGTAATCTCTTCGCTCGATAAATTGCTGTTAATGTATTCATCTGACCGGTTATTCCACGACCGCTTTGCTCTTATCTAACTGCCCATTACTTATTATAAGGATTTATTCATCTATTCTTTACACCTAGCAGTTTTAATTTCCCCCCTAGATGTCTTTCCACTATTGTGTTTAACAAGGTAGTAAAGGCAGGATAAATGCTAAGTGACACACACACACACACAAACATCAAGCTTCATCCGCTCAAAGACTTTTCCATTGCGAAATTTCCCGACATTTATATTCGTACATATAGCTCTATGTAGAGCGTGTACATTCTTATATACAGTATACTATGTTCACCAATGCGATAAGTAAATGAGAAATACTTATATTAAATATATGCATATATCTCCTTCACCTGGTTAATCATTTATCCGCGATTTATTCATCGTCGTTGCACATCTGTTTATCAATTCTGGGGTGCTTAAGGTGACTTTGTTTTTGCAAATCCCTTAGAGTTGAAAGAATTAAAAGACGGCGCAAAATGTCTTTCAACTTAGGCGAGCATCGATGTATTGCAAACTACGGTGGAAGGCGAAACGATTGTGCGTTCGTTTAACTGTTCCAAGTATACGGTCATTAACTCATCGGATTTTAAATTTGCTTGTGTCTATATCTCCGTTCACTCGCCCGCTCACTCGTCCGCTCCTTCCGTGGCGTGTTTGTCTGCCATTAAATTGGGAATGAAAGCTGAATTTGCTATCCACTCCCCCCTCCATTTGGCTACTAGTTATCTGCCAAATCCTTTCAAACAATTGTCCGTACTTCGAGTTTTTCGTTGTTGACTTTCGTTGAAAATTTTTTAAATAAAAAACAATGGATGGAAGCCAAAAGTGACCTTTTCAGTACATAAGGTGTGGAACTCATTTTCATTAGTTCGAAAACGTGTTTTGCTTACTAACTTACAGTTGCAGCAGCTCGATAAAAATTTTTGCCAGAGTTACGTAGATATTAAATATGCCGTAATATGTATCATGCCTGCAATAAAAACTGATTTTAGAATATTTAGGTTACGTGCATCCAAGGTTCGCTTTAAGCTGAAAATAATCCTCTTCGTTGTCATACAACGTACAGTAGTTTTCTGTTTCGTTTCCTATATATGAGTTTCGGTAACGCTTATGCTTGAAGAGATTTTTCAAATGTAGGAAATATTTGTCAAAAGCAGCAAATGATTGACGTGATCGTTTAACTGCCTCGAGCAGCCAAGTGAGTGAACAATAAAGTAACTTGGACTTGTTTACCATTACGTGTTACTTAAGGAGAGAAATTGGGTTGCGATGGATTTTAAATCGGTCGCCAACGAGTTTTGCTTACTTCAACTGTTCATTATTTCATATATATATATATATATATATATATTTTAT